GCTGTTGTAAGAAATGGCCTGCTCTAACTATTGTTACTACAAGAATAGAAACCATTGCTCTCCAGCAGTTCACTCAAGTATTTATTTGAAACGTATTTGTGGTTTCTAAAGTGGTATTTTTGGGACCATTTGTGTTGAGCCTTTCAATTGATTGCTTTTGCACAACTTAGGAAGATTAATTGGTCATTCGAGACTTATCACTGAACAATGAAGGAAATTGTACAAAATTTTTTGTTTCAGTTCAGAAGATAGAGTGAGTCAGAAAAGCTTCTGGACATCATGTCCGAAAGATCTCTCTAATTTTTTCATCCGATAAGAACTTATAAAGTTATACCCTCTACTTAACAAATCAAGTGACAAGCCACAAGGTCTATGTCTACGTCACAAATGACAAGAATCTATTGTGTAGACTGGATTCTTCTGGTAGAAAATCGTCTACATCGATCGACTTGGAGCTTGAGAGAAAGCCGTTTAAGTAGGTGCCTTAAAGTATACGTTTCTCAGTTGCACGGGCATTGATAAATGAGAAAAAACTGCTTGAAATATTTGAGAGATTGGTATAGTTAATAAAAAGTCAAAGCAGGCGGACAAAGCAAGAAAGTAGTGCTTCGTAGCGGATCATTGCAGAATTATTGGCAGAAATATGGAATAAAGATATTTAATTGGCCTGAAACATCTACTTTCCCAGCGAAATCAAAATCTCATAAAAGAACATAGCTGCAGTATTACTGACAAACAAGCTTAACAAAGAATTACTTCATATCAGACAAGGTTATGTGGTGCATTAACTGCCATTTGTCGCTGCTTTGATCATAACATACAGCACTCTAAAGACAACAAACTGTTAATAGACAGTTGAGTCCTAGCAGTAGAAAGTAGCGTTACGATACCTAATCAATTTTGATTATGAAAACTAAACCAAGTCCTGTCTCCTGGATGGGTCATTTCTCCTGGATGGGTCATTTCTCCTGGATGACGTTTGAAATCCCCTGACTGATTGAAATAAATTAGTTGTAGAATAGAATTATGTTATAGCAGAAATAGACATGCAAAGCTGTAGGCTGTTTACAAAGATCTTAACACATCGATAAATATATAACTGTGACCTGGGCGGAATGCGACCTTGATTTAAGTAACAAATTACAAGATAAGTTGCCAAGAAGACACGATAATAATATTTGAAACAGTTAAAACAAAGTGCGGGGGCCGGAATAACAAGTCCAATCTTTAGGGATATTCCCTATGGCAACCTAAGTAACAGAGGATAGAAAGAGAAAAGAATTTTCTTGGCTCAGTGAGATAAATATTGCTGCCCCAAGATACAGCAGCTATCGTCAGGATTGGTATGTACCACTATTAACAAACTGTGGACGAACAAGAGAACCAACAACAATTTTGAAATTGGGTCATCCACTTTATCATGTTCAAGGGCGAAGATATTAATTTTTATTTTGGTCATCTCTGAGTTTTGAATGAAAAGATTAAGATAAAATTGTTCAACATATTTTCATAATAAGATCAAAATTACCAACATACGTGTTTAATGAAAGATTGATACACTTATTAAAGTTTATCCTGAACTAATAGGTCAAATTAAACTCTCTGTTCTTTTGGTTGAAATAGTTGAGATAACAGCCTTCACTTTAAATTGAGGGCATATGAAACACATCTAACCCGAAAAATCAAAACGCTAATTACCATTAAAATTATTTCAACACTTGGTGCATCCAAAGGACGATAGTCGTTGATTGTTCCACATTGACCAGATTTATCCCCTCCCACCCTCCTGCACTTTTCCAAAGTACTGCCAAGCTGCCAGGTGAAAAGCAACTTGGAGTGAGTGTAGTTGAAGTGCTAGATTGAGTGTCTAAATTGTGACAGGGACGCAGTGGGCCGGGCCAATTGGGTCTAAAGATCCTATTTAATTCACCAAATTTGTCTGAAAACTTGGGAAATTTTGCTACTTTGTCAGATTTTTTAGGAAATTATTGTCTATTGCCCCCCTTAATATCTCCAACAGGAACTCTACATTGTGAAGATATTTTTGTGAACGAAGTAGTGAGATTACAACAATACTAAAAGCCTGAAGTGCTGAACATCACTCTTTTTCTCTGAGCGCATCAACTAACCTGGTAAAAATGTGATCAAAAACTGAAAACATCTAAACTAATCTCAACCTCCATCGTAAGACACGACTTAAGACGCTGAACGCCTGTTACCGCTAGAGCAAGAAGAATTGTGTTTGGGGCGTAAATATTAGATTTTACTTGGGTTTGGGCCGTGACAAGCGACTCTGGGAATCCAAGTTCAAAGATACTATTGCGGTTCAATATATACGAAAAATACAGATAGCCTTATAAAATGGACACCAGTGTAGAACAGCTTGTTGTATGAAAGTATCCGTTGCCTAGAAATGAATTTACCAAGGCTTTGGAAGCAGGTGAGAAATTAAGGTGGAAAATACTTTGTCCGTTATTTTTTAAGCTGTCCAGTTTTTCAAGGCTTCGTAAACAGAAGCCTCGTCGTAGAAGTAGTAGAAGAGTTTTATATCTGGTTTAAACACTTATCAAAACCGTGAAAATCAACACTGAACCACGCAAAGAAGCTCCTCCGCTGTCGTCTCCAAAAACTACTTGCCTGAACTAACACAGTCAAAGCACAGTATACGTAGATGCTATCAGGCAAACCCTCCTCAGCCCCCTAAAAACCTGTTTCAAATGAAGTATCTTTGAATCACTGAAGCCTTGTTCAAAAATCCGGCACATAAGAAGCAAGGAAAACTGAAATGGAATGTTCACAGCTTTACCAGATGGTTTGAGAGCCCCCAGCCCCTTTAAAAATTCCTGAATACAATTTTGACTATTTATATTAATGATAGTTAGATTGGATAGTAATTAATTCACTTGTCTGCAAATTATGTGATGTCTGTATGCAGTGGAATTTTGAGGTATTTTCGAGAATGAATAAAATGCCTTCGAGAATCAAAATTGTCAAAAATCGAGATTACTCTTTTCAAATCTTCCTGGTCGAAATATTGACATTAAATATGTTTAAACATGGGATTGTGAAGTTACAAATCGTTAATTTAGAGAAAAGTCAATAACATGTGTTAATGTCGAATAACAAGTTAAGTTGCTTTTGGGAGGTCTAAATGTTCCTAAGCAACTATAATAATCATAGGTAAATAGCCTGATATGACTGAAAGTAGCAGATAGAAAATATAGTCTTAATCTTTCTAAGCATTTTGGTTTCAAAAGAAATCACTGTGGAAATAATTGAAACAGAGAATTTAATTAGTACTCTCTTAGCTGTAATACTTGGGAACTTTTGGGTGTCTTTGTTTGGATAGGCTTAGACGGACGAATACAGGGAATCAAGAAAAATGGCCTAAGTTTGATCAGGCATAATCTTATATACATTATCATGAGTCAACCACTGTGTCTTTCAAGAACCGCTAGGTCAGAATATCTTAAAATATGAAGCTTTCTTATTTTGTATCGAGATTGTGCATGCTCAAATGGGTGGTCTTCTAATTGTATTTGGCGCGAATGAAGCTTAGTAATGGATACATTTATCAAAAACAAAGATATGACATAGGATTGGCATGTTCATAATATGTTCAGATTTCGGCTCTCTAGTGCATCAAGTTGAATCTGGTTAAAAGATAAATATGCTACTTTCATTCGATAGGTTTATTGTCAGGAAATTAAAAGTTTGTGTCTTGGTTTGACGTATGTTATTGTACAAAAAATTATAGCACTTGTAGTAATCAAAGCATTTGATCAGAATGCCTATCGCAACCATTTAACTGCCACCAGCATAAGCTACGGTGAAAATCAATCTTACAGTTATGGACAGTAAAAATCTATTGTTACAGGGTTGGACGTATCTTTGTATTATGTAATAGCTGCAAATATATCAAAGGGCCAGCCATTTTGTGATAGGATTGATCAATCACAAAGCTGCAAACATCGTTGAATTTTTTCAAATCACAAGTGATCAGATCACAAGTGATCGAATCACAAGTGATCGAATCACAAGTGATCGAATCACAAGTGATACTCAATCAATCTAGCTGCATTTTCAGCTGTAACCATGATTGCTGCCAATACATTTTTAGGTATGCACTCGATACAGTTTAAGCTTCTTATATATTATGAAAGGTATTTTAAAATTTTTTAAAACCAGTTCTTTAACAATCGAACACCTTAAGAAGAGTCATCTGACGGGGTTTGCAAGCGATCTTTCTATCAAGGTGGTCTTATTAATATCGAATGAGTTACATACCATTTAGGTAAATATGTGCATATTTCTGTCTTAGTATAGACAAGGCAATAAGAAAAATGACGACGAGTAATTTGTGGCATCAATGGTAAAGACTAAAATCCACGACAAAGGATTATACAATGATTTACTGCCAAATAAAATATGGACATTATATGCCATAAACCAAGCACTGAATGTTTACAGATCAAATATTTGTATCTATTAAAGATCCTGGTATTCGCGCAGAGATTTGGCTTGTTTGCATAGTTTTAAAACAGAAGTCTAAAAAATAGCACGACAATAAAATCAATTGGGCCAAAGCATGTATTTGGGCATGTAGAATAATTTCGTTGACCAAAAACGAGAAGGCATGAAGTACCTGCATATTATGTGCCGTATTTCATGCTTCTTCTAGAGCATAATGGCAATTCCTAAAAGATTCTCAAAAGAAGAAAAAATACACCAGAGTTCAGTTTTATTGATTGCAGGTATGTCGACAAGATTACTCTGGGTACCAGAGCCTCAAAAACCACGGAATATGTAATTGTAGACCAATGCAGCAGCGAAGAAGGAAACCTTTCAACGTTTTAATGAATCCTTTAAATCAATATATATGAGACTAAATTATGGAGACTCTGGCCTCTAGGGTACGACAGTAAAGAAAGGTATTCTCGTCGATATCAGCTTCACTTCGATGTGTGTGATAGATGTCATAGAAAAAAATCGAGGCTGTATAGAACACTGGATAAACAACTTGCTACGAAAAAGTTAACTGGCACAAATGGAAAATGACTATAAGTATATGTCATAAAAAATTGATATGAAGTCTTTGCTATGTCAAAAACCTATATGTGAAAATGTAAAAAAAAACAAAAATACGTTCTTTAAACAGGGTCATTCAATTAGCCACGATACATAAGCTGCTATAAAGAGAGACCCTGTAAATTTAACCCGTCCCTGATTACAAATGTGGTATGCTTAGCAATCCACCAAGGTGCCTTTTTCCGTCCTTTTCTTCCAAGTGCTTAAATACACAACTTGAAGCGCAATGATTTTTTGCTTCATAAAACAAGTTGAAAATTTCCAAAAAGACCCAATTACTAAAAAATGATTTATTTTGAAAGAAAGTGTGTTCATGGTAATTTTTGTTTAGTTTACATCAAATCTGTAAAAGGAATGTTTGGAAGAAACGGATTGACACCAAATAAATTGAAACACCTAATAAATACTTATCTATTAAATAAATTGAAAACCCCAATAACAAACTAGGTAATCTAGCCCTTAATTCTTAACGTTAACAATAATTTGCCCTGACATGAACCCTTAGATTTCTGTCTATCACTTGTATAATACCGAAACATGTATCCATTTAGGCCCCTATACTTCCCCTAATCGATCTAAATTGAATATTTTTCTCATAAGTGGTCAATCTCTTCTTCTTACTTGCAACATAATGTTCATCGCAGTTCGAAGCATCCACCAGATTTGTCATTTGGATGCCATTTTAAAAATTCACCTACGGAAAGAGCTCACTGAGGAACATCTTTGAGTATTCGTAAGCCACAAACAGTGCAGCATTGGCAGGGAAAGAACGAAGTAGACACGGACTTATTCCACGATATAAGGCAGCAAATCCTAGAAAAAATCAAAGCACAGTTAGACAGCAATCTTAGACAGCAAGAACAAAAATATGGATAGAACTGGACATTAGACTTTGAGACCAAGGACTCAAACAGTGAGACTATGGACCAAAGAGATGAAACAGGCTCTAAATGGATGCCAAAGTATATGTATACATCCATGAATATACATAATTTATCACACAGACGTTTCATAAATATGAATCATCATTTAATCCAAATATCTTTTGGGGCCAGTGTTGCTTGATAAAGAAGAGGAATGGTTTCTTTTTCTTACACAAACATAGTTCGGAAGGAGTTAAACCAGTCAATTCCCTCCTTCATGAAGAACTCTTTAAATATTTCAGTTAGCTAAGGAGGAAACAAGCTCGTCATTGTCCGCCTTGACGTGAAACTCGTGTTTTCTGTCATGGTCTTCATCCTGAATCCTATTGAGAGTTTTACTTACTTATATGATAACAAAAAAACGATAATTTTACTGGCATGGCCTGATAGAGGGTCTACGAAGACAAAGACCAACATATCTTTGGTTTCAAACAGTGGTGAGGGGAATGCTGATTTAGAAAACTGAGATTGGTGACATACATGATGAGTTGGATAGTATCGAAATGTCCTTGCGAAAACATTTTCTTGCATAGCAGTACGCTAAAGGAGGATTTCAAATGTTTTAATTACTACTTAGTTACAGGAAATAGATAAACGATGCTTTTGTTGGCCTGCATTTGTAGCAAAAGCAGGAAATAGCTTCAAAGAATTATACAAATCAAAACTTGAAAGGATTAGAATTCGGCGGCTGATTGGGGCACGAAAGACCAATGCCTTCTCAGCTGTAGTGATAATATGAGATGAAATAAAAGATTGCACTGTAAGTCAGATAATCACATAAAAATAATTTATTATTTAATGATCATATGAGGTTTAAGAAAGATGAGAAAATGCAGGACTTAAAGTCTTTTCAATAAGGTCAACAGCATTAAAGGTATTAGAACAAATACCATTTGGAAATGCATAACTGAATCAAACAAGAAAAGTAAATGCATTTTTGTACAAGGCAATGCCTTTGCAAGAGACCCCACGGCCAGATTCCGGCTTAGAAACCTTTAATTCACTAGAGAAAAGTTCTTTAAAATGAATACCGCTTAAGAGTTTCTTTGGGAATAAGCAGTAAATGGCATCAGGTTGGCAAGAATGTCAACAAAATAAGTTCCCAGTGCCTTACTCCGTAGTCAGTTTATCCCATATGAGTAACTCTCTAATGTGACTAGCTGTTATTTAATGCCTCTTTTGTGAATGGCTTTATCAAGCATTTCAATGCGGAAGACACGTTATATTTAGGCCTTGGTTACCCTAAGGACAAGCACTGTTTTATCCATCAAAATTTTTCAGGATTAGAGAAGGTATCAAAATGGAGGCATCAGCAAAGGCTGCCAATGCCGATGCGCAAACAGGCGTTGTTGCGATGCATCTTCTTAATTAAAAAGGCATTACAATAACGCACTGTTGGCTTAGAGCATGGGGAAGTGCATTGCCTAATGTATTAGAATTAAGCATTTTGAATGCGGGCACTTCACAGTTAAATCACAAGCAAATAGCAAACACAAATCACCGTCGCTTTTTGTCTGTGAAATGCCGAGGAAGGCTCAGATGCGTTCTTAAATGTACAAACCATTCAAAGGCTCTTGCGCAACCGGCATGCTTTGCGATTATTTTTTCAAAACCGGCCTAATATCGAACTGCATGAAAATACAAAACGCAATAAATTTATCTAGAAAGCTGTCGCTAAGAAAGGTAGTTGCGCAAGAGCCTTTAAAGACAACGTTTTAACTGAATGACAAAGGGTAAAGAATATAAGTTACAGTAGTTGCTATAAAAACTGCCAACAGCAGCAAGCAGTAGAGTAGAAAAATACATCGACCAAGGATTATTTTTAATTGAATTCTGTGTGTAGGTAGTTTTGAGATAAGAACCCAAAAAACCCTTTTTATTGTTCACTTTTAAGCCATTTTTGTGCCTCAGGTAAAAATTGAACTCAAGTATTATTTTATATAAGATATTTCGGTCTTTCCTTCCCTAATACAATGAATACAATTATTGGAATAAAAACCATTTGCACCTTTGAAGTAGGAAACAAGGATAGTGTGACTTTTGAAAAAAGGAGATTCGTCTTGCGGGGATTTACTGTACTTTGGTAAAAAATTTTACTAGCCAGTTAACGAAATTTAGACAGATTAAAACAGGCGCTACATCAAAAAATGGTAAAGTCAGAAAATCGATAGCGAAGTTCAGAGGGATTCCTCTTAGATAATTTCAGATATATAAAAATAGCAAGAATTAGAAAAGAAATCGCTAAAATTTGAGGGTGAAGAAAGAATTTCCATGAAATAAATTGGGGATTGGAGGAAATTTGGTGTTATCCACTGATACAAACAGGAGCTACGGGAACTCGAGATCATATCCCGTAGCAATTTTCATCTTGACGTTTGTTAATAATTAATGAACAAATTTTTAGTTCATGCATACCCTTTCCCTATTTTTAAGTTCAAAGCATTTATCAAGTAAACTCTCTCAACCTCATAAGGTGACAGAGATGGGGTAGGTAGCTTGATCTCTAAAGGAAGGTTGATCATTCTCATATTGCAGACGAAGGGCTGCTTAGGCCAGTCTGGGAAGGTTCTTTGCCCTCTTCACATTACCACCAAGGTAAGCAGCATATCAAATTTTGATAGGAGCGCAGTAGTTAATTCTAAGAGTGAAGAGCGAACAAGATAAAAGACGAATGGTCTTATAAGAGTGGAAAAAAAGAATTTCCTAAACGTTCTGATGCTCCGAAATATTGACAAACATGCAAGAATGCCATCTTTATCAACGCCTCACTTCAAACTTTAATTTTGATTAAAAATCAACAACTACACGCATTTTCGTACAAGAAACCGCCTTCAAGAGAAGGAACAAAACGAAAATCCTCCTTAAAGATGGAATGGAAACGATTTTTTCGACAATTAGGTACCTATTTTTTGTTTAAATAACATAACAATGGAAATTGCGACAGATTATATGTTTTATTTCATGTGAGTTTGTGTTATATTTTTAGGTTTCTAAAAAGCAGCTCTTTTGCATTGGGTATTTGGAAAACCTAAGCAATTAATTTAACATTATATTTAGATACTGAGTACCAAATCAGAGCTTAGTTTATTTTAATCTGAGTTCGTTAAGAATATGTAAACCCGAGCTTAGTATGTCACAAAAATATATGTAAATTGGAACAATACGATCCATTTATAGAATCATTGATCAACGGCTAAAATAGCAAGAATTTGTGTTATATTTAGTCACATCTAAACTAATTCATATTTATTAACAACAATCCTGAAGCCCTGACCTTCAAAATGAATATAAGTTTATAAACAATAACAAAGATTGTCTTATTTAAGGAATAAATTAAACAACTAAACAAAATGATCTCTTCGCTGTAGGGATTCAAAGGTATCCTATAAAACCTGCTTCTCTTGTTTACAAATCTTAGCATGGCTAAAGGAAGCCTTATTCATAGACCTAACAATCTGCGGTCCACAGGCATAAATAGGTTAAAAAAATTAATGAAAATCTTGTAATAGAAAATGATTTCAGACTCTATTCGCGAGCTTGAAAGGATAATAGCATCGCACCCGTGGCAAAAACATATCAGTCAACATGTTTCTCTATTAAGCATTTATCCATAAGATAAGCCATTTGATGGGTATGCACATCCAATTTACTAGGTAAAAGAGGCCCGCTGCAATAATAACACACCATTATGCAAGCATGTATTCCTTCAAATAGAGCGATCATCTCCCTTTTCCGTTAAACACAAAAGAGGAACATTCTCATCCTTATTAATTATTGTCCAATGTTATTATTTCTTATTTCCTTTTCATCCGAATGATAAAATACAATATTTCGAAATCATTTGATTCTCCTACGCAGACTTAATTAGAATCGCAAGAGGCCTCCCTCAGCCCAGGTCACAAACAAATTGAACCGGAGTACCGCCAAGGAGTTGAAGCAAAAACTGTTGAAAATTTAAATACATTGCAGAATCCGAGTAGCACAAAATTAAGTGCAAATCGTTAAAGGTACCATGTGACAAGCGATAACTGAACTTCAAGACGAAATCGCCAGGTGGGACCCATCAGAGGGATATCAAACAAAGAAAAAATATCAGCAAAGAGTTTACTTTTAAAAGCTCTTTAACTTTGTAATCTACAAAAGATATATATTATTCATAAGCTATAAAGATCAATATGCAGCCACTGAAAGGAATAAAATATGCTTCCAAAACTAACAGTACCTTAGAGGTAAAGAAACAATCTTTCAACCTGCTTCTAGCTGCAAAAATTCTACTTGCAGGAAAAATTAGTTCAACATGTTAAAGAAAAAGCAAATGTTATAGATGAGAAAAATTAAATGTGGCATGTGAAAATTATTTTTAGAGATGAGAGAAAAAATGAGGACACAGAGAAAGGTAAATCGCGATAAGAAAGGAATAGATAGCAATAAGAATTGTAACCAATAAACAACTGACAGAAAATTGTTTACAGTTAATGAGAGAGAACTGTAAAGCAAAAAGTAGGAAAGAGAGTTCGGTGACTCAAAATTCATTTCTTATCATCAAAGTTATCACTCTCCTACCAAACTTAAAAAACCACCGCCAAATTCTTCATGAAAAAAAGAGACGCCTTATCAGTAATTAAACTTGAAATCTTTTCTAATCCTAAAGACCGAGAAGGATAAGAAAGATTATCCTAAATGTTTGTTCCAGAGACTAATTATACATATGCATTAAAGAGAAGAGATCAATTAATGAAGAAAATTACAGAAACGAATCTATCGCAAATTTAAAACTTGATTAATTTTCCAGTCACTGTTTCTTAAGTGTCAACTATATTTAGTATTTACCCCTTAAGCAAAGGCGAAAAATTGAGCTATCAGTATTTCAGCTTTAGATTAAAGTCTGTC